GGAAAAGCATTTTCCCCAGTCATGTTGAAGGGCTCATTCTCTTGGTGGACTGTCCAGTTTATTCCTGTTGTTGAAAGCATTAGGAAAGGTCTCATACCTAAAGTTTGTCATCTGTCACTCCTGATGGTAAACATCATAAATAATCCACAATCCAGTGTAAGTGTTGGGATGAAAAGGAGATAATGAAGAGGAGCAATTGCCAAAAAGAGTAAACTGATAATCTTTCCATACAATCTATCAGCTTGCCAGAAGTAATGGTTCGGACTTTTGTTCTGTAGATTAGGTGGAGATATACATAATCAACTATTTCATTCTAGATAAGCTCATATCTTTCATTTAGAGCCCAGGAGGAAGAGGAATGCCATGATATCTCCTTCCTTCATCTTGTAGTCTGCTGGATAATTTGTGGTAATTCAGAAATAGCTCCAAGCCCTTACACCTGGTATACCGATTGCAGGGGTGCAGTTGAAGTCTCACCCCTACTTGAACCATTTACAGGGAAATTATATTTATCAGCAAGAGCCTGAGGTTCCAACCAGCTGGCTGGGATGCACGCTGACAACTGCAGTGATAGAACAGCTCTTCTGCAGGATGATTTGCCCTAGACAGGGCAGAGGTGTGAAGGCATGAGAAAAAGTTGCTGCAACAGCTTTCTGGGCATTCTGCTCCTCTAAAAATGAAACTCGATAGTGTTCTTCTGCCTCTTGTTTTTTTGTAGACGTGGATGTGTAAAACTGGCAGCCAATGTGAGCATTAAAGTCTACAGTACACTCTCAATGAAAAGCTTCTGAAGACTGAGTGTGTATGTTTGTAAGAGGGTAATGTAGCCCACTTCTGTCTTCTCACTCTTTATTCACCTTCTAGCATCCAGAATTTTCTGTATTTTAAACTGCAGTGGATTAAAGGAAATAGATGTGGAACCAGAACTAAGATCTACAACTGGTTTTAAGATCTTACCTGACATTCTTTTCACTTCATTTTCTCTGTCTGGGGAAATGCTGTTACAGCATCTAGGTACATTTACGTGCTGTTGTGCATAAGTGCTATACAAACCTAACATAAAAAAACATTCACATCAAGCCCAAAGAGCTGTTATTTCAAACTTTACAAAAGTACTTTGATAATTAAATTACAATTTTTTTCCCAAAAAACGCTTGAGAAGACTGATTAAACCCAGAATTATGTTGGCAGACATGAGAGAAAAAACAGGTTTCTTTTCACCTAAGTTATAAGGAATATCAAGTTGCAAATGCCTTTTTTCCAATCCAACCTATATGATAAAAATCAAATGACGGTATTCTGAATTTTTTACGTTTTAAAACAGTTTTCAAAATTTTGACTTTGGAATCATATCAAAGTTATGAACATGGCAAAACAATCCCACCTAGAGTGCTCATTGGGTGTTATCTTCAAAAAGCAGTAAAATAGGTCATGTTCCTTTTATGTTACAATTATTTCACTAAATTTGACATTTACTGCTGACATTGAACTAGTGAGGGATTTTTTTTTCTCAGTTTTCTCTCAAATGGAATTTTCTCATAAAATTATGAGGAACATTTCATAGTTGTGACAGAAATATTAATAACTCTGCTTTGTCCAATTTTAAATTTATTTGAATATAGAGCACTTCAGCATATAAAGCAGGAACATAAGTGCTAGTGTCTCAGAACTCTTTAGCATGCACTGCTGAATATACAAATGCACACGTTTCAAAACGACACAGACATGAAAATTTGCAATTGAGAAGCTGAATAACAAGTTGAATAAAAAGACAGGAAAAATTTCTTTATGTCTAATGGCAAAGTAGCCTGATGTTATTTTAGGAAGGAAAATTAATGACCATTTTTTACAAAGGAAGCGTTTCTTTTCTGTGGTTTAGAACTGATTAGTAAATGGATATGCAAAAAGCTCTCTATGGAATTAGACAAATATGAATCTGTGCACTTCAATCTATTTTATACATGTTCTGCAAGACCACAACAACTAGAGCTAATGCTCCCTCAGCTCCATTGAACTAATTAAGCTAGGTCATTATATTAATAATGGGTTGCCCTTCTGTCTGCATTTATGGCACTTAGCAAGTCAGTGTGAGTGTGAACGCTTATCTCATGAAGGAGAGAGCTCCTGACAATGAATTAGATTTATCCATCAAGATAATTATGTGACTTGATTACTGTTGATATCTGAAGAAGCTGGCATACACAAACAGGTATCTGCAGCTGTAGGAAGCAAACAACACTTCAAACAACTGGGCAAGGCTCCAAGCCTGTACTATTGAGCAAGGAGGTGGCTGACACCAAGACCTGGTGACAGGCTGCTGCTGTGGCACATGCAAAGGGTGTCACAGGATCTGAATGCTGCTATCAATGCTTAGGTTAACTCAGCTGGGTTGGTATTTTGCCACAAATAGTTCTAGTGCCGCCTGCCATGAAAAAAATACTTCGTCTAATTAGTTTTCACTTCTCTTCCTTCCTTAAGGGGCATGAAAGAGGGAACACATTTGAAAATTAATTAGGAAAAACTCTGCAGTCACCACCCCAAAAGTACTTTGGGAATGGCTTTGCAGCTTTCTTGTTCTGTCAATTCTTTCACCTCCTTCAGTTCACTTGCTGACACAGTGCCATAGACGAAGTTCCTAATGGCTTGGAACCTTAGTTCCTTGAACTGATGATACTTGGCTGAGAACAGAATGCAACGATTCTTCTCTGTCATAAATATTAAAACATAACAAAAAGCTGATTGCTGGGATAGAGGAAAAGATTTCAAAATCACTGAAGTGGAAATTTATAAAGAACAAAGATTCTCTTCTTGGCAGAGAGAAATACACATGTGAACTGCTTTGTATTATGATTTAGTACGAAACAAGTTTCAGTTTCTAAAGTGATCTTAATGCTGCCTTCTAGAAGTTGATGGGCAGCTCCAGAACTTCCTTTATAAAGAATGCAGCTTTGGAGATCTATCAATAGCACCCAACATTTTTAATTCATCATTGGCTGTGGCACAAGGGGAGAAATACTTGGCTCGTAGTCTCACACCTGTGAACCCACTATATTCCTTTGTCTCATAAATAGAGGAAGGCATGGGATTCAAGTCCCACAGAAGTGTTCTTCAGCCTCTCCACGTCCCCTCTGCCCTCCTAACCACAGGCTGAGGATCCTAAGATTAAGCTTGCTGAGCTGCCAATAAACTCTGTAGGCACTGGAATACGGAACAAATTGTTCATATGGTTTGTTAAACAAACAAACAAAATGAAATGTCTATACAATCAAGCTGTTTGTTTAAAACAAGATATATTGAAGTAATTCAAGACTTTGTGGATACAAATTTGTTTAGGTATTTATTTGCAGTGTAACACTCATTTAGAGATGAAGTTACTGGAGTGCTCTTAAGCTCAAAGGCATGATTCATGGCACTCTTCTATATTTCCTAACAACACATGGCAATATATTTAGCCCTATAAAATAGCCTTAAAATAGCTATTTGGATGCATAAGAGCAAATTTATACTAAACCCGGCAAATCTTGAGTAAAATCTGATGACATAGAAATCACTGGGTGCAGCTTGCAAAGGTGATATTTTATATATTATTCACATAAAACCATTAGTTTGACTAATGAAGTCTCTACAGAACAAGAAGTTGTTTCCATTAACAGCAGAACAAGAGGAAGAAAAAAAATCAAAATAAAATAATGTCATGTGCAGGCTATCTTAAAACATTTTTGACTGTTATTTCAAAATCAAATTTCCACAAATAAAGAGAAAAATTTTATTCATTGCAGCACTCTCTGCAAAGTCGGAAGGTTAAAAGAAAGTTATTTTGTAACCAAGCATAAAATAGGCATTTGAAAAATGATTTAGCTGGGAAAAAACACAATTTTTTCCACATTAAGATAACTTAAGAACACCCAAATTGATTTTTATTAGACTTCGCATATTCACTTCTGAGCTGACACATGCATGAGACATTCATCCCCAAAGGTCACTTCTCAGAAGGCTATAAGTAACTGGAAACAGCACTGCAGGATGAAATGATGGCTCATTGCTGACTATTACTGCTGGAGAGTGATAGATATTTTACTCCTGAGGCTAAGAGACAGATTCTGCAAATAAATTTTTATTTCTTGGCAGTGCCGATAGCTGAAACACGATGTGATAGAGCTGGTTTTCCCAATGTTATTATTTGACTTAGAGTGCGGGATGGATGCAGGCAAGGCCCGTGGGCTCGTGTTGGGGGGAGCCCACCACAGGCTTTTCTCCAGGGCCAGCAGAGGACGGCACAGGGCGAGCCGTGGCTCCTGGCACCCCATGGTGACTAGCCCAGCGCAGTGCTGTGCTCTTGTCCTGCTCGCTGCCCTGCCCCAGCTGCTCAGCTCTCTGCTGGAACCTCGCCTCCAGGCCCAAGGCAAATGACGCTGCTCAGCCTGGCTGCGATCGCCTCATTCCCCCTCCCCAGCCCTCGGTCACTCCATGCTTTATTCTCTCCCTCCCCTCGTCTTTTTGGTGCCAGCATTAGCCAGTGAGGTTGTTTAGCCCAGAGAAGAGGTGGCTTGGGGCAGGTTGTAGCCAGGTAAGAGTCAGCCTCTTCTCCCGCAAACAGGACACAGCCCAGGCTGCGCCAGGGGAGGTGGAGGTTGGATGGCAGAACGAATTTCTTCACAAAAGGTCTCATTAGACACTGGAATGGCCTGCCCAGAGAGGTGTGGAGTCACCATCTCTAGAGGTGCTCAAGAAATGACTGGAAATGGCATTTAATGCCCTGATCGATTTGATTTGGTGTTTGGTCAAGAATGGACTATAACTCAGACGCTTTATCCAACATAATAACTGCGTGAAAGCAAAACACGAGAGGCCCACCTCGACTTACAGCTTTTACAGTTATAGCGACCCCAGCCGCTGTCCCAGCCGCTGTCCCAGCCCCTGTCCCAGCCCCTGTCCCAGTCGCTCCCCGGCCCCGCCTCCTCCCCGCCCGTCGCGGGCCCTGGCGCAGGCGCGGCTCGGCCATGGCGGCGGCCGTGGAGCGGCGCCTGGCCGAGTTCCGCGCCGCCCGCGGCAGCGCTGCCGCCGCTCCGCGCCCCGCCGAGCCGCCGGGAAAGGCCGCGGCTCCGGAGGCCGCCGAGGGACCGCGGGCAGCCGCGGTGGGCCCGGGCGGCGGCGCTCAGGTGAGCGCCGAGGCGGGCGGGGCGGGGGTGCGGCGGCCGGCCGGTGCCTGACGCCGCGTCTCCCCGCCGCTTCCGCAGGTTCGTCCCGGCGCGGCGGCGGCTCCGGTCTGGGCGCGCCCGCTGCTGCTGAAGGTGCTGCTGTGGGCCGTGCTGCTGGCGCTGTTCGTGGAGCTGGAGCTCGGCCTTCCCTACTTCATCCTCTCCCTGCTCTACTGGATGTACGCCGGCACCCGCGGCCCCGCCGAGCGGCGGCCCGGCGAGCTCAGCGCCTACTCCGTGTTCAACCCCGGCTGCGCCGCCATCGCCGGGACGCTGACGGCCGAGCAGCTGGAGCGGGAGCTGCACTACCGGCCGGCGGCGGGCAGGTAGCGCCCGGGCCGGCGGGGACTGCGCTGCGCTGGGACTGCCGCCGCCCCGAGGGAGGGCCGCGGCTTGGGGAATGAAATGGGGTTTGTTCCTATGCAAAAAACCTCCTGAGCCTTACTGCTGGCCCCGTGTCCCCCCGCGCCGGCCCGTCCCGAATAAAGCCGTAGCAAAGCCTGCGCTCTGGTCTCGTTTCCTGGGGCCGGGCAGCTGTTTCGGCCGAGAGGCACGGCCTTGTCAGAGCTGCGGCTGCCAGCGTGTCAGCTGGAGGGCTTCAGCTCCCGGGAGCTTTGCTACAGGTGACAGAAAGGCTGGCGTTTGACTACACCTGCAGTAGAAGGGCCCGCTGCTGCTCTCCCCTGCACCGGCTGGAAACCTCATTCCGAAGAAACGACGTGAAAAAATAGGCTGCTGCTTTAGTTTGCAATGGTGTCTTCCATCTAACATAAACATCAATTTATAATTCCTTTTTTACTTCAATTACAGCTTTCATAATTGTACGCCAAAAAATACTCCTGGCAGGTGTATTTGTATGATCCACTATTTGTTTTAATATGTAGATCATTGCATTGAGCCAGACCTGATCAGCAAAGTGGTAGTTACCGCTGCTCAAAGCATGTAAAAAACACATGGATGTGGCATTTGAGAACATGGTTTAGTGTTGTACGTGGTGGTGATGCTACATAGACAGTTGGACTTGATGATCTTAAAGGTCTTTTCCAACCATAACAATTTTATGATTCATTAAGTCATCGTTTTGAAAAGCAGCTGCTAGAACTTGTGTCTCTGAGGACAGAGCTGAGAAGTCACAAATTGGTCTTTCAAATCTCGTTCCATTATGTCTTTTCTAATTAAACAGTTAAACACAATGTTAAGGCTTGACTCAACACAAGTTTCATCACTGGTTGTAGAAACAAAAGTGATGCTTTGAATTTAACTGGACTAGTAAGAGAGTAATAGTTTTAAGCACATGTAATATGTTAACATTGCTAAGTATCCCATAATAGCTCTTCCACATCACTCTCACACTTTCTGTCTTGGGCTGTTGTATAAATTCCAAGTCCTGCTATTTAAAGGCACAAAATTGCCATTTGCACATATTCTATCATCCTCCAGTAAACCCCCGCCCGGAGTTTCCATTCTTCTTACTTAATCCTTTTGACTCTATAACATGCTGGATTTTGGATTTGATTAACGTAGGCTCAACAGGGTCAAAGGTCTCTTGGTAGTGGACACACAGTTGCACATAGAAAGCATTGTTTCCTTGGAAGAACCACAGGCTGTGAATCTTACCATTCTTAAAAAGTATTCTAATTACAGGGTAAGAAGTAATTAGATGATACTCAAAACACCTGTAAGCAATGGAATTTTGTGAAGTGAAAATTTATTCACAACAACAAAAATAAACATCGGCATAGTGTATATGGGGAGTTGATAATCTGACATCTTGTACAGTTCAGTTCTATGGGTATTTTTAAAACAAGGAAATACATGCAAATAAATATTAAATATAAGGTGAGATCCATGAAATTATAAAAATTCATAGCAGCAATGCTGGAAATAAAGTTTTTACTTGCTATAAACTCTAGCTGCATTATGTCCAGGTGGATTTATAGACTCTTGTATTTAATGCTTCATGAAATAAGTTACCACAGTAAGTGAGCATGAAGCCAAAAGGCACAAGAAATAAAAATTGACACAGTTCATCTCTTCCAGTGCTTTGTGTTGGTTTGCTTATTTCATGCTACTCAAATAAACGTACATTACACATTGTGAAATAGAGATGGCACAAATAACAAAGGCTTGTAAAAGGTTTTACTGAAACAGATAAAGTATGATGGAGAAATTGGCATTGAGGCCTTGCACAGTCTCTAAATACACAAATACTGTAATTCTGCTTGGTGGTAATTACTTCCACTGAGTTGTTTTGAGAGGGGATTTAAAAAGGTTTGAACAAGTGAGAGCTTAATTAGAGGAGGAAAAAAATTTTCTCTGCAGCCTTCTGCTTGGCTAAGACTTCACCTTGTTACCTTACTTTTCTCTTTGTATTCTAACAAAGCAGAAGTCGCCAAGGTAAGTTAACTGGAATTATTCCTGTGGGCCCAATGCCCTCAGTTCACAAACGAGTCGGAGGGACAAGAATCACTTACTAATTCAAAACCACAACAAGCCGGAAATGCTCTTTATTCCCATGTCTGTCCTCTTTTATTTGTTACACACACTTGTTTGTCCAGCACAGCAGAGTGTTAAAACACTTCTGTAACTTCCTGTTGTCATAGCAAAACTATCATCTTGCCAACAGCTGCATAAGCAGCAGAATTTTTTTTTCCCAGGTTTGCATATAACTAAGCAGGACCAGCATCCACTCCTAAATATTAATGAGTGAAATTATTCCCACCAGTGTTCATTAAGCCACAGCTGTATATTGCATCTGTCACCACGCTGCCCTTTCACCTGCCAATGACAATCTTTTGTACTGTTTTTCCTATTATTAGCACCTCAGGGTAGACGTTAGATAGAAACATCAAGCATACTCTCTATGTACAGGAAGCTGATTAATTAACTTGTAGGGCAGCAGTGAATGCCTGCATGAAGTAGACAAGTATTGTATTGACGGTCACACAACACAGAAGGTAGTTATTAAACATACAGAAGAACCTGAAGTGCTTCATTCCAAAGTCAGCTTTGCAACTGGTGTTAGGGAGGGAAGGCCTGGAAGCAGCCTGCAGAGAAGCCAGCATGCTGAAGACACGTAAGCCAGCCTGAGAACTGTGGTGGATTTCTGCAAACATGTCTTTCTCCCTGGAGCTCAATTACAAGCATTAGAGCAGAAGAAGGTAACACATCCTCTCTAATTCAATTCTAACCTTTTGATTGCAAAACTAATCCATGCTGTTGGCAATTAGGATTCTAATACAATGATTAAATAATCCCATGCAAAGCAATCTAGCTTCAGGCAGGAAAGATTCTGAGTTACATCCCAGAATATCCAGTCCACTTTCCTGGCAATAGGGGCTGTGAATGTAAGTGCAAAGAGACTTGAAAATAGGGAGGGTTATTTCTGCTGAGTAGTTGCAACTGCTTTGCAATGGAAGTTACTTATTTATTACAAGAAATCTATGAGTGGGGAGATTCTCAGGGCTAGTATTTGGCACTTTGCCTCTTTGTTGTAAAGGGAGCCCAAAAAAGAGCAGAGCAAATGACAAGCTTTGCATATCTTAAGTGATGTAACTTATCACATCCTGTTTCTAAAGGTACTTCTGCTTGTCCCCAGCAACTCTTGTCAACATCAGGGAGGAAACACACTACACAGGCCAGATGGGGAAAAGCTCATGGAGTTCAGGATTTTTTGTTTGAAGTTGTTGGTTTTGTTTGGGGCTTTTTTGGAATGCCGCTGATGGGAATCTGGCAGGCTCTGGAGGATGGCAGCCCACCCCGGTAAAGGGGGCGGGAGCTGTCCTTGGTCCTGAACCCACGCCCTGCACAAGGGCCACCTCGCCCTCCGCACACCTGGGTACCTTGTGTCACACGACAGAAGGGCCAAGGCCGGAGGGAAAACAAAAGTGAGCGAGTACACACTGCCAACTACCGAATCTTTGCAATGAGAAGTCTGCTGAGACCAGCAGTGGCCACAAGCTGACACAAGCTGTGTGTTTGCACCCACAAGAAGCACAGTAAAGCTCAGACAGGAAACATTCTCTTGAAACAAGCCCATCACCCCGTCCCTGTGAACACCTGTGTGCCCACCAGGTGGGCAGACTAGCATTAACAAAGGAGGGCTGTGCATGCAGGGGACATTTCCATCCATGTCAACAGAGATAACAAGCGCCTATTCCTAGCAGAGGAGGTTCCTAAAAGATACTGCATTTTTGTTTGGATTTTTATATTTTTTAAAGGGAAGCTTAAAGATAGCATTCAGAAGTGTTCACTACACTACCTGCTGTATATTGATAGACCTTCAGGATGCTGTTCTTCACCTACCCAGAAAACAGATAAGCATATTTTCAACTTTAACTTTGGGAAACCCCTGCTACAAAACTGATCCTTCCCTGAAACACAAGTTGTGTCCCACTAAATTATTTTTTCTAAAAATGGAGACGGCACCTTACCCTATCTCCAGAAAAGTCTAAATGCATTTTTTGGCAATAATCATATTCTATATCCCTGTAATTTAATCAGTCGAACACTCAGCTCACCCACTCAACACTAATAAGCCATTGACCCTGTGGTTTCAGACTGGATCAATGCTATGCTTAAGTTTTGGACCCCCGGAGGCCTTGTGTGCAAATAGGAAAAAAACTCCTTTAACTTACTTTAGACGTGACCAATTTTTCCTCTGATGTGTTGATTACATTAGCAGATTGCTTTCCCTAGAAACCTTTGTCCAACAGCCTGCAGGCGATGAGCAGCATATGCTTAAGTTTCTTGCTGGAGATGGCAAACTTAAGCCACTTGCTTGGGTATTTAAGGGTTTTCAGGTATATTACACACTTCATTGTTCTCAGTCTGATTCACCTGCAGAAATCTCAGCTGAATGTGGCCTGACAAGTGGCAGCATAGACACTGCTGCCTACTGTGCCCCCACTGCTGATACTGTTGGCTGGACATTTCAGAGGTTTCATACTGCTGTCTCTCTGGACATACAAGTGTTCCAATCTCCAGCGCTCCCAGCTTTTCCGAAACTCCATCTGAACCTAACATAAGCAAAGAAGGAAACAAAAGGAATGAATGTAGAACTAATCAGCTCTTTAAATGACTCCATCAGAAAAAAGCAAGGATACCACACTACTGAGAAAAGCTGGAAGTGCTTTAAACCTGCAATATTATTGCTTCCAATTATCCAATTATCTCATTAATTCATTGTAAGCCATTCCACATTTAAAATAATGGTGATATTCATTTTTACTTGCAGAAAAAAAAGCTCTTTTATGCACTAGAAAATCTTACCTTCATTATTTTGCTCTAAATTGTATTCACCTGCAACACTGATTGTACTCTATGCCCTACCAGTACTAACAATTAAGCTGACTTTTCTTATCAGCCATGAAACAGCTGAAAAGACTGGTTTTCTGCTCAATATTGCACCACAGGTATTCTTAAGAGTTCTAACTTCTGGTTTGATTTAAACATTATTATGTCCTGGATTATTTTTGTTCTTTGAACATTTATGTGGGTTCTTTTTATTTCATACAAAACCACATGTTTATTCAGAATCGAAAACAACACTTAAGCAAGTGTGAGACTCTACTTCTTCCCCTTTTAAATAGCAATTACAGTATCTCGTTCCAGATACTGGCTTTTCTTAAAGGTACAAAGTATGTTCATCTAATCACAGGTTCTGGGTGAAACTGTGTAACTTCTGCACTGGTTTGGAAGTTTATCCAGGATTTTTCAACTGCTAAACAAGAACAGAATTAGATCTTCCTGTTCTACCAGCAAAGTTCTTGCCACTTGACTGAAGAAAGACCCTCCATTAGCTTTTAACACATAAGGCAGAGGACATAAAATTTCACACTTGTTACTCTAGATAAAGGCAGGAGTCCACAGTAATAAGTTCATTATGGTGTGTACTTTAGCTAGGAAATAAGTTCACTGTAGGTGGGTCACTTAAGGGAGCTTTCTCTGGAGATGCTTTTTCTTTTATTTTAGGATCTCGTACTGACTACCAAGAAACTAAGTAGGTTGATGGCAGTTTCAGCACAGGTTTGTCATCGTGCCCAGGCTGTTGAAACCTTCATATTATGAGGGAAACTTCCTAGGAAACCAGCTGCTGTATGTCTTCTTTCTTGGCTTGCTCACTGTGAAATACTGAATTTGAGAAGCAGCCCTAAAAAAGGAGCAAAACTTTACAAAACTAGTTGTCTTTCCCTCGTGGGTACCTCTATCAGTGCTTGTCAGCTCTGGGCTACAGCCCTTGTATTGAATATTCTGCTGGAACCAGCTGCATCTCTGTGTTTCTGACGATCTGTCAGAATCCAGAATCTGACCTCCACTGTCACAACCAAATGGGTCAGAAGGAAAGATGCTGAGACAGATGCTTGTATTTTACCATGCTAAGGGAGTTTTGTTGTGTCAAAAGATGCACAAAGACACCAGAGAAAGACACTATATCTGGGATAGCTTGGTATAGAATGAGGGAGAATGGTCAGACGAAGGCAGAAATGCAGGAACTGTGGTTGTCTGCAGGAAAAGAATTGACCATATTACCACTCCAGTACTTGGCAGCTTTTGTGGACATGGAAAACAATAAGGCAGCACTGGGAAAAGCTGCTGTAGGCATTTACTGGCAAATCCTGAATGAAAGCATGACCATAGGGACTGACAGAGTAAGTCAGAGAGCAATAGAAATAGGTACCTTTAGGTCAGTCAAAGAGAGGAAATGAATCTTTACTCCAGCTAGACATGACAGGCTTGAGCTATGATACAAATAGCCTGCAAAACTGAGATAAAGTGAATGGAAGACCTGAACAAAAGCCTTTAGGGTCCATTTTAGGAATGGATATGACTGGCATAATATCATGGCATAATATCAGTTTTCTCGCCTGGAGTCAGGAAAAGGGTAAGGAGCAGCTCTGCTTGCCTGTGTTGAATTGAGCTTTTGCCTAGATGGCTTTGGAATTGGTTCAGATTTATTTTGCAGAGGCAGGTCCTCAGCACAGAAGTAGATCTACAGATCTTGCAGCAAAATAATTATCCTAGTAACTTCCCTGAGTTGGTAAGATTCCCCAGAAATAAGCTCTATAGGAAAAAAAGGATACCAAGAACAAAGTTCCCATGATGTGATGATTTTGGCTGGGGTAGAGTTAATTTTCTTCACAGCAGGTAGTGTGGGGCTGTGTTTATCTGTGCTAGAAACAGTGTTGGTAATACAGAGATGCTTTTGTTATTGCTGAGCAGGGCTTGCACACTACCAAGGCTTTTTCAGCTTCTCATCCCACCCTGACAGCAGGAAAGCTGGAGGTGTGCAAGAAGTTGAGAAGACACCTGCCTGCCAGTGGAAAGCAGCTTTAGTAGCCTTTGTCTCAACCCAAGAGTTTTCTCACTTTTATTCCTTCAACCATCACACCGAAGCGGAGTGAGCGAGTGGCTGCATGGTGCATAGTTGCTGTTTGAGGTTAAACCATGACATGTGAGAAAGGGGAAGAAAAAGTTTTATGTAGGGTATTTTAAGAGAAAGGAAAGAGGTGGGAGAACTTGAAAAAGATGGTCATGGAGGTTAAAGTTGAAGATCCCTCATTGAGAGCTCTTGATTGAGCTTTATGCAGCTAATGGGGAAGGAAGGTGACAGTGTGGCAATGAATCTGGAATCTAATTATAAAAAAGGGCTAAGTTTTGGCAAAAAAAATCTCAGCAAGTGATAGTGAAAGGAAAGTAGGTCTAAAATGGGATGGAATTGAGCTGATAGAAGATTTAATTGATAGTCTGTATAGAGAATGAAAAGAAATTAAAAGCAAAAGGGAGGATTGGACAGTATTTCAAGAATTCAAGAGTCCTGGCATCAGGACAGATTCTTTCAAGTAGAAGAGACTGAATTGTACTTCCATTGTGACAAGAAGGCAAAAAGGAAAACCAAGGCTACAGAGAATGCATCTTCAACTAAGTGGTGGAAACCATCTCTGTGGTTTAAAATATTTCTTATAGAAAGCAGCACTAACAGCAGAAAAGCTGGTCATATTAAGCCTAACTCACTTTGCAAAGAACAGTGGTGGTAACAGGCAATCTTATGAGACCCTACTGTTGGCTTCAGAGCAAGTTCAGAGAAAATCCAGAATCCTTCAGGCAAAATAAGACTGAAATATGAAGAAATTATCTTTTTTTTTTTTTTTCAGAAGTAGATACTAGAAAAGGGCATTAATATCACTTCTAGCTTAATTTCTATTATTGATCTGGGCACCAGGACTTGCAAAGAACTTTCATTCTGTATGGTTAAGGAAAAAGAGTCAATGAGTCACAAACAAAAATGAAATGTAGACCACATTGCAGTGTGTTGGAAGACAGTTTCTAATTTAGTTTAGCAGAAGAATTCTCCTGTAGTTTAGAACATACGTTACTTAGTCAAACCCTTTGCAAGTATTTTTTTAATGGATGCTGATGACCAGGCTTGACAAAATCCTACTCCCTTTGAACAAGAGTTAGAACAAGCAAAATAATTAATCCTAGACTGTTGGTGAAGCTGAACTCATCACGTTTAGATTTTATGAATTACATTACAAAGGCAAGAGAATTATAGTAACAAGAGATTTGGAGCATTTCTTAGAAACATTGGTAAGCTATTACACAGTCAGCTCCCTCAAATGAAACAAACCTGCCTGTTTGAGGGCTTGTAATAAAGTTTGGGTTATGATGTAACTTTGCCCCTATTTAATGCGAAGGAAGTCATTGAACATTGCACATGAGAGGCCTGGCTGCAGCTGCACAAGGGATGTATGAGCAAATGCCAAGGTGAATCAAAAGAAAGACACGATCCACCAGCAGACGGTGCTGCATCTCAGGATTGAAATACACCTGTAAAGCCATACAAGGAATTTGAAACAAATATTCTCTAATTCATGACATGCAGCAAATGACATTCATTCACAATAGTGAAGCCTGCTGCTACTCACCTCTGATTTTGGTAAGCAGTAGAATTAATAAATTCACTTCAATCAAATCTTATTCACAACCTACATAAGTGAGCAGACTCCTGCAAGTCTTAATTCAGGATGCCTGCTGTTTTTCTGTTGACTCCAGCCTGGCCATAATGACACAAGTAACAAATTTTTCTACTGATTCCAGTTCCTTGATGAGGCCTGTCTCTCAATAAGTGATCTTGAATTACTATGTCATCATTAAAAGTAGAGGAGTTGTTGTGAGTGTAAAACATATTGATGTGCATTTAATTTAATAATGTATTGATTAAATGAGTAGTGTTTGCTTCCCTTACAAACCTAGCTGCTGAATGAATGAATGAATGAATGAATGAATAATAATCACTTAGAAGGTAACACGAGAGATTCCTGCAATACTGAAACAGAATAATACCCTTTCCCACAACAAGGCTGGGTTTCAGCAGAAGTCACAGAAGATGGTACTTGCAATCAATTAACTCAAAGCCAAAGGAACATTTTTCTGGCTCTGTGAGTTTATCACTCTGTGAAATTCAGTTTTAATGAGAGAGTGATGATGCCTTCAAGCAGCTAGGCTACAGGGAAACCAAATGAAACCAAACTGTACAGCAATAGCCTTGACGATTCTCCAGCTTCATCAACAAGCTGAGCTGAGTTCATAGAATAAAATGGGCTCCACTCTCACATTCACAAAAACAAGCAAATAAGAAGCACTATAAGACAGATTAAGAAGAGCAGCTGTAAGTCTTAATTAAAGAATCCACCAGTGCAAACTACACAATTGTAAGCAAGACTATTTGTGAGATTCCACATTTACAAATAGTGACTTGTAAATTATACTGCCTGAATTCTTTCCAAACACATTTGTCTGATGAGTTATCCCACAGAGCTGTGCAGGGAAGGATCTGTTAAAAAAAAAAAAAAGTCCTGAACAAGGAAAATTGAAAATTTGCAGTTCAAGATAATTTTCAATTTCCTTTTCCTGTAGCGTACGCTGATAAGGCAAATTCGAACAGTGTCTCTCTTACCTCATTATTGATGAAACAGTAAAGAATTGCAACCATCAGCCCCTGAAATCCACAAAAATGAGAACAGTGAGCAGAAGTTTCCTCACTTTGCAAATTCAGTGGCAGAGAGCTAGAGGCTCCACACTGACACATCTCAGACAAGACTGAATGGTGGAGAGTCCTTGGTTCCTGTCAACTCTGATGGCAGACAGAGGTTTGATTAAACTACATCTCAAAGCACATGGCCCTAGGAAAAAGGAGCTGTTGTTTCCTTCTACCTGTTGTTTTTGTCTAGCGATTTCTTTCCCCTTCTTCCTTACAAAGCAAAGGTTTCAAGTCTTAAACACTTCATAAGTAATTCACAGTGGTCTTAAATACAGCTCTGTGCTTGATAAACAGGGAACGAGTGAGTGTTCAGGGAAACAGAGTAATAATTTCCTTACACAAGGAGACTCATTTGAAATGGCTTTACCTAAGGCAACAGTTAAATAAAAATTACAGTGAGCCTACGCTCTCCTCACACGTAGTTACAGTGGAGACAGCTACCTCTCCCAGCACAGATTTTCCAAGGAGTATCAGATATAGTGGAGAAAGCACAAAATGTGCTTTCAGCAATGCCACTGTACAATTACAGGAAATCACAGACAATTTTGCTATTGCTCTGAGGTGAACCATAGGAAGTAAACATTAATATGTGGACAGGAATACCAGCTTATTTTAGTAAAGTTAGCTGTTAAAAATTAGTCCTTACACTTTTCCTTCCACTGTCATAATCCTGTAACATCCAGTGCTAAACTGCAAAATACAAGGAACAGGGAGTATGCAATGAACGAAAGAAAGCAAGTCCCCAAACAGCAGTTTAAAAATTTCTTATGCCCATGGGCACAATGTGATTGCTACCTGGAATGAAGCAAAGGAGAGCTCAGTAAAAAGCTTCACAAAGCGCAGCATCCCTCTGGCATGCTCGTCAGTAATAAAGGCAAAGATGACCTCATGCGTCCCCAGCAGTGGGATCAGAGTCAGCGTAGACTTGGCCAACCTAAGATCACAAAGAAATTAAAAAGCACAGTGCCACTGATCAGACCATTGTTGGTCCAAATGATCACTGGGAGTCACCGTTTCTGCATTCTGTTTCTGGCACAGTTTCAACTTTGATAAGTTGCTGCAACACTTTGTGATGCAGGGTCCCCCTCCAGGGGCTTCAGGATAAAATCCTCAGAATAACCTTAGTAAGTTCCTACAAGTTTTAACCTCCTCTACCACTTTACTGCAGACCATTTATTGGTGAGAACAAAGCTCTGTATCCAGCTACTGGTGTATTTCACCTGGAAAATCTTCTAAACTCAGTAAGAAGCCACGTGCTTTCTTGTACCTGTGATGTCTTTCCTCTGTATTATTTTCTTCACCTGCAATTGGGGAAGACAACCAAAACCTATCTTCTTGATGACCTGAAAGACATAATCTATCAATAACTGGCATCTTTTAAAAATATCTTGGCAAAGGGAAGAGTACTTGGTATTCCTTCCCACCTCTGTGGTGTGTTAAATGTTCTAAATATTGTAACTATCTGTACCTGCAGCACACTTTGTCAAAGCAATCAAAGTGTCTTGAAATGAGTGATAGCAAGTTCAAAGGCACAGCTAGCAAAGGATGAAAGACAAACCAACCTGAAATAAATTATTCTTTGTGAGAGAGCTCAAGGTACACAACCACAGGAAAAAATTCACAAGAATGATCTTTAATTCTCTTTTGATAGACATACATGCCAGCCACCCAACAGGTTAGTGAAAGATGCCTGGGGATCATATGGGAGCTTCCTGGGCCACAGAACTTACCAACATCTCACAACGACCTGTCTTGAGACAAGTCAGTAGATGCAAAATCACTCAACTAGCAGGACTGTCAGACCTCTGTAGAGCTTGTGTGTCTGAGGGCTATTGGCTGCTATTCTGAATCATGTAACCACTCTCGTTGGAAGGCACCTCTGGAAGTCTCTAGCCCAGCTCCAGTTTCACAACAGATTAATCAAGGCTCTTCCAGCCAAGTTTTGAGTGTCTCCAAGATCCTTCAAAGCCCCTCTGGGCATCTCTTCGAGCATCAGACCACTTTGACTGTGAATTTATTTTCACCTAACATGCAAGGGGAATTTCTCTTGCTATAACTTGTGACCTCTACCCTTGTCCTTTCACTGTAACCCTCTGAAAAGACTCTCTTTTCTGTAAAAGTGGACTTGGAATCAAAGCCTCCACCTCAAACAAGTCCTCATCTCAGCTTTGATCTCTCAAGATACATTAGGATTTCCAAAATTTCATGTGAGGTAAAGAAGGTAGGTAACATACACAGGAATTCTACACTGATAAGAAATCACCAAAGCACGTGCTGTATCTAGTTTTGAAGGCTGCAGCATCGAAATACCCTATGTAAAATAGCTAAGTCCAGTGCCAGCAGCAGTCCAGATACCATAGCATGTAGCTCCACACTTCAAGAGCTAACTTGTTATTCTTACATTGTTTTTCAGACTGCAGTACAAAAGTCAAGACACAGAAATGAAACCATGAATCTTATCAGGGTGATTAAGTAACAGGAAGAATACAGACAGGGATAGACTGACTGCAAACCAAAAATTGAACATATCTGTGATAGCCCTGACATTTCTCTTGAAACAGCTCATGCATTTAAGATTGAAAGTTTTTGCAACAACAACTGGCAAGAAGAACAAGGAGCAAAACTCAAAATGATTGCATCTTGTCTTCCTTGAAGTGAAAGCTTTTATTTCTATCAACTAATATTATTTTGTTCAAATTACAATAAGATAGTGTATTTCAGCTGGGAGGAACCTATGATAATCACCTGTTCAAAACTTAATGCACGTTCTTAAGGGCATTGTCCAAATGCCTCTTAAACACTGACAGGCTTGGGGCATTGACCATCTCTCTAGAAAGCCCATTCCAGGGTTTGACCATCCTCTCAATACAGAAATGCTTCCTAATGTCCAATCTGAACGTCCCTCAGTGCAGCTGTGAACTATTCCCACATGTCCTGCCACTGGATACCCTGGAGAAGAGCTCAGCACCTCCCTCTCCACTTCTACTGCTCAGGGGGCTGTAGAAGGGAATGTGGCCATCCCTCAGAGCCCTTTGCTCCAAACTAGACAAGTCAAAGTCCTCAGCCACTCCTCACAGGACATTCCTTCCAGCCCTTGCACCAGCTTTGCTGCCCTCCTCTGGGTGATTTCAAGGACTCTGGCATTCTGTACTTGCATGTGCTGCAGGTATTTATAAATATCTGCTCAGTTAATACTCATCCAGTCTAATGGAAGACTGTAAAAGTGACAGACATCAAGCCTTCTGTTAATAACACAGGTGAAATACCTGCCCTGGTTTCACTGAGACTTTTCAGTGGACTGACTGTCCAAGCAGTTACACTAATGCATGACACCACACTTGTGCATTACTCAAGGGCTGTGCTCTTTAACCATCTTTGTCAACCCACTCTTTTCATGTATGTCCTTGTCTGCTTCTATTCTGATGAGCATGAAAAATGTCAGACCACCTTAAGACATACCTGCATTTTATATCAGTTTTGCACATCAAATTGGCCTGTAGTTTGGAGATGATGATGCATATAACTCTGATGAAGATGAGGAAATTCACCTGGAGAAATGAAAGAATTTAGATCACCATCAATAAACACATGCATAAGTAATTACACAGTGGTTTGTGTATGAATGTGTAGGTCTGTGTGCATCCTGATATACAGCAGCTGCAGAATTTACCATGAAACTCAACTCCTTGCTAAGGAATTGTGGTCTAACTGTGAATGAACAAGCCACCCTTGAAAACACAGGCACTTCATTACACAAAGCAGAGGACCCTACTTACTCTCTGGGGAGTGAGACAGAAGTGAAGGTGTGGGTTGGCCCATTTGCCTTGTCTAGAGGTCTGAGCCTGACACAGTATTGTGCCTGCAGATCATTTCTACACAATGCCACACATTTTGCAGCTCTTTTGTAGCCTAGCATCTGAAATAGTATCTTTGGTCTCCATGAACTACCTTCCATACCTCCTGCTCACAGAGGAGTTCACAGGACTGCTGCAGCATGCCATTCTATTATCACGTCCTGCCACTACAACATGACAGCTTGTGGCCAAATTGAAGAAAAAAATGCTAGTCTGGAATTTCAGTGACAGAAACAAACTTGGCTTCATGAAATCACATTTCTGAATGAAAATGTCAACAGCCTCAAAGGTTATTAGGCTTTGGACATGCACAATGGCCATGTGTGCATCTCTGTACCATATTGTACTGTTCTCAGGGAAATCTGCCATCTCACAGCACACATCTCAGACTCACCCCGATGGCGATGAGAATGGGCAGTCTGATGATTAGCCAGTAATTCATGTTGTAGTTTCTGGTCCAGCAACTGGTAGGAGGACAAAAAGGAGATGAAGGAAAAGTTTCAGTACATTACTAAAATCTCTTGCTTTTCATTCTGTTCCAGCAATGCAGATGGAAAACAATATTAAGGACTAGATAACAGGAAAGCACATCATGCTGACATGGAAACAGATGCAGCTGCTTCTGAGAAATACTGAATGCTCCGTACTATTGCAGCTATCATCATCCAACTGGATACTACTCACCAGCCTTTCTTGCCCACTAATGGCTAGCTCTCCTCCACAATTTGCTATGAAATATCATCCATTAATTGTGAAGATTTACTCCATTAAAACCAAGGTCATATTTGTCATTTGGCTGAAAGGAGAAGGGGGGGCAATCTGTTTGAGTCTGATCTTTCTGCTGTCATTCTTAGCTTCTTTATTCTGGACTATTTTTTATTATTCTTCAGTCTCCAATGTCAGATCATCTTATTTAATTGCTTGTTGGTTTTTATCCCATTACTTACCACCATTATTCTCGTACCAATATTGAGATCAGTCATCTATTTGATCTGTCCTTATTTTCAAAAAGAAGTTACTAATTTCAACCATGGGAAAGCAATTGCAGCTGCAAACTCCAGCTCCTTCAGTACATATGCACAAGGTTTCAGGCCCACCAGGAGTTTTAAAAATCATAAACAAATAAAATCAAAAGTGGGAGCAACAGTTCCTAACTTTTGCTAACCTGAGCCCTCTGCCAAGTAAGTAGCATGCTGCAGCAATATAATACTTCATTTACCATATGAGTCTCATTTCAGCTTTTAAAATTCCTGTCTCCTTGAGTAATACTGGAGGAAAATGCCAACAAAAGTTGTGGCAGCTACAGTTTGGGATCACTGGTCTGAAGTGAACCTTAAACTGAGAGTTTGTACATGTAGTTCCTTTCCTCTGGCCACAGCCAGCCACCACCACTGTCTGATGGGCCATGTCAATGCAGGATGGCCCAGGTGTTAGGGCAGTGCTCACATGCCACTTCACTTCTTGCTGCACTGACAGCATTCTGAATATTTCTATGAAATAACTTTGTTAGCCTCCCACTCAGCATTACTCAAAAGCAACAGTCACCAGTAAAGACAGCAGGTTTCTGAAACAGCACTACATAAAACATTGGTTTTATAAACTACATAAAATTACATAAACAGCACAACATAAAATTGGTTTCTCTTCATCTCCAAATCTGTTCTGCCAAAACATACATACTATGCACAGTTTTCCCTAAGGCTTCTTAATAGATCTATGAAAGTTCAGCTTGGCTGATGCTGGTAGAGCTGGAAAGCTCCCCAGCCTTGTAGTGGGACAGTCTAAGAGAAAAAAGCAAACCATGCAGGGATCCCTGCTACAAGCACACACCCATGTGCTCACTTACCAGAGAGGAAAGTGTCACAGCTTGGCTGTGGCAACTCCACATTCCCTTGCAGGGACTGCAAGTCCAAGAAGGGCTCAGGATATCACTTTTTCCTTCAATTTCAGTTTAACGCATACAAAAAGCATATTATTGCCACCAGCAGCCTCCAACTCAATTGCATTTTAGGTATCGGACAAAAAAGGTGTGCAGACTGTGTGCAGTCTGTGTACCTGAGCCAGAATCTGAGTTACAGAACTTCTTAATTGGTACAAGGACTGGGAGCCAGCTTCATGGAGCCTTTGAAATTAATTTTATTTGAACACCTCAAGACTGATGGGATAATAGGCATAGCTGGACGTGGAGTTCTAATTTTCTCACTAGCTGCAGTAGATGCAGAGGCAATTAAAAAAATTCTTTATAATAACAGAGGCTGAGAAACAATTCTTTACTTAACTCTGCTATATTTCTGTATTAATTTGCTTCCTGTGGCACACATCAATTTTAGTTACCTTTAAATTTATACAAATACATGCAATAAAAAAATTACAGGTCAATTAAGGTGTCATGACTATTGAAGCATCCAGAAAACAAAACTAATAGATCTCTACATGATTTGTTGCCCATCTGTGCTTTCTGTGATTGCCACACTGATAAATACACCAATATCTATTGTGCTTGGATCTATCCCTACAGTTTGCTCAGCACCTCTCAGAAGATGCTTGGCAACTAATAGCCTCAGAGCTGTGAATGGAGAATTTGTCCAGTGAAAAAAATGCTAGTGGGATGTTTCTGCCTTTGCTTATCAATCCAGTATTCTCCTTCTAAAAGTGAAAACACTAAATTTTTACCTTGAATTACTACAGGTGAATGGAAAAAAAGGATTGAAGGCTGACTATTTTGCTCCCATCCTTAACTGCAGACAGAAGCAAAAAATGTGTAAGTATCAGCTTTTTAGGCACAGTCTAGTAACTAAGAACAACAGCTTGCCTTTAATTATATTTGTAATCTAGACAAAATATTTTTGAATAGTTCACTTTTTGAAACACTAATTTAATTCTAAAGGAGTTTATACTTGCACATGTAAGGAAAGAAGAAGCTGCTCTGCAACCAACAAAGTCTTGCAGGCTTCAGTCCTTTACTCAAATGGCTACGTTTACAGGACTGCCTCAGATTCCTAGCCCTGACCACATTTATTTCCAGTTATCCTTCATAGCCAGGGAAGTAGTTAAATCACAAATGAAATTTACAGCCCACTGCATGGTGACAGAGCTATGGCAAACAGCATGAAAGATATCCCTGGCTGCTCCAGCAAATGCCTGCCCAAGGCACAGAAATCTTGCCTTTCAGAGCAGCTGCTGCACGTGGTTATTTATTACTGTATTTTACAAATATTTAGACAAGATTTAGAAAATTCAATAATGTGCAAAATTACCCCTTTTAAGGTCTGCTGAAGGCAGTGAGTGACAGTTTTCCTTAATAGAAAATATAAATCAGCTCTGAGCACTGCATAATGTGTGAGGCTCAGCATGAGCACTTTGAATACATTTTCTACATCAATGGGAAGATATGCCCATAGAACATTGCCTGTCCACAGGCTGCATGGTCTCTACACCTATTCTGATAATTTCAACAAAACTGGAGTACATCAGTACAGCCACAATCTTGCTACAAAATATCAAGTCAACCTTGAAAAGGAAAGTAAAAAAATCCTAGCATTGCTTAAGCCATACTGAACTGGTTCAGTATCATGAGGAACACAGGAAAAAAAAAAAAAAAAAAAGGGGTTCTAAATACTCAGAAACACCAGAAAAGAATTTGGGGGTGGCTCTGACTAAACTGAATTTTCCCATTGCAGCATCTCTCCAGCAATAATTGTGTCTGTGAGGAAAAAAAAAAGAATCCCCTACAAAAGTATTGGCTAGGTAGTCTGGAAATTAAGTAAGAGGAAAACCCTTTAAATAATAAATTTTAAATGAAAATGAAAGAGCATAGATTTATTTCTTTTCACAGAGAAAGGTGCCCAAATATTTCTAGGCAGCCGCTATCTCTATAAAGAAGAAGCAACTTTCCTCCCTTTAAGAAAAAACAAAAACAACAAGCTACAGTGCTATTTGTAAAACAGCTATTTATAAAGCATATACTAAGGTAATTTTTTCCAGAACAGCCACCATGGTAAAAATGGACAAAAAGTATTTTGTGTTTTACAGCAGTCTTGTGCATGACACAGTTGACTTTAGCAAGACTAACGAAAGCAGACAGAGAATGTGCCTTTATTTTAGTAAAATCTAAATAATGGGAGCTTAAACAAGAAAAGGCAATCACTTCTCTGCTGCTAGGCATAGGCTAATCACTACAAATTGCAGGCAGAATCCCGTGGGAGGTTGCTGTCTTCTTCTGAAACAACTGTAAAGGCTACTGCCAAAGGCACAGTATCAGGAGTGGTCTTGGTTGGGTGGGATGACTGCTATTGTTGATCCTGTAAGTACAGAAAAACAAAACATACCTTTCCTTGACCTGCAAGAGAATAGATTTATTCAGACATGCAGAAAATTCTGATCAGAAAAAAACATATGCTCCTTTCTGAAATGTTATGCAAGACTTTCAGACAAAATAGAAGCAATTATGTGAGGTTTCAGCACATTGCCAAAGCAAACCACACTGAACAGAAAGCAAACAGTGACCTGCTGGTGCACACACACAGCACAAATGAGACAGCTATAAAAATCAGAACTAAACCAACCCCTCATCTTCATAAAGGTACTTGACAGTTCCCCAGAGGATAACAAACAGCATTGGCACACCTGAAAAGAGAGGAGACAAGGCTGATATTGACATTGAGACTGGGAAAAGCAGAGAGGAAGACCCTCCCCCTAAATAATGATGAGCAACATAATTAACTGGTTGCAGCTCTTATCCAACACAGATTGCCATGAACAGTGGGCTCCCACCTAGTTCTCAACAGGCATGAAAAATTAACAATGCTCGTGTCCCATAACAGACATTCACCACTTCTTCTGTGGATACTTACAGAAAAGGGAATTAAATTTTTGGAAGCTCTACTAGCCTCTGTACTCATGCTAGAGAAGGCGCAGTGTGCTCTGACCAAAGCCTTTGTGTCCAAATTTCTGCTAGTGGGTCACCTACACTGCGTTCAAGCAGGACCAAGCTCAGGCTGTCTACTGGTGTTAAGGCTGGAGCACACCCAGCCCCACATGCCCCCCATGGCAGAGGGAGTGTGGGCACACCCAGCAAGCATTCTCCCCCACAGGGAAGTCCCAGCTGTGGCTGTGGTACTGGCATGGACTTGAGTGGCTGCAGTGAAGGCAGCAGACAAAGCTGGCAGTGAGGAGAGCTTGGCCCTACCCTCACCTGCCAGCACATGGTCAGTTCATCTGGGGTGTAAAGGGACAAGCCAAGTCAGCTGGCACTCATTACCTGCTTTACAGTGTCAAAGGCTCTCTAATTAACTTATTTCATTTATGAAGAGCCTAAGTCATTAAAAAGAATTTTAAAGTGCATCTACCAACCAATACTCATTACAGAGAATGATAAAAATGCACACAAGGAAGGAAAGCAGGTTGTAACTCAACAGGTAGGATGAGGAATTTCTGCTTAAGGATAGATCAAGATGGTCTAATTCCTCTTTGGACAGTGTCTGATGCTGCATGTGCATTGTATAGAAAGAACAACTTTTAGTGTACTTTGTTACTTTATTCTTAAGAACCAGCAAAGTAAGGGACCATAAGAACATCAGGCTGCAGCAGTAAGTTCTGCACAGGGCAAATCCACAGTTCATAGCAGCAGAAGCCACAGGGACATCACACTGTGGGAGACCACATAATACCTCAAGCAGTATCTTTATTGGGTATTATCAGTAAAAAACCTTCACTTTTATTGTACTGTAGAATTTCTCAGCTATCAGAACAGCTAAATACTACAGACACAGAATAATAATATTCTCCTTAATCAGCTAATTAAAAAAAAAAGCAAGAACAAAGAGCAGCATAGAAAAAATACCATTCATCAGAATAACAGCAAAGATAATGAATTGAGTAGAGATTATTTGGGCAAATAGGTACCATGTTCCATGTTCCATGGATTTACTTGATACTTTTGTGAGCAAAGTTGCCAAAAACTCTATGCTGCCTTGATAGTCATATAAAGAGATTAAGAACAGGCTCACTGCACATCACTTCCAAACTAAATGACACTTTTGATTCACAGAAACAAATTATAGTTTGAATTATTTCTTTCTTGACTCTGCTGTGCATTAAGGCATCTTAATATGAAACTTACAGGATAAGACACAAACACTGAGAGCATGAAGGCTGTATGTCAGTGGATATATCATTTGATAGGTCAAATGGTAACAATAATGATTTGTGGTATCTCAGTCTTCTGGATACATCAGAAATCTCTCCACACTTAATGAAATCACTTGACATTTGAATTAAGAACCTATTATTAATATTGTATTTCAAAAGAGCCTAACTAGAGGGAGGCCAATAGAATTGCATGCAAGCTATGCAACTATTATACAAATTAATAGGCAGCAAGTATAAAGCAACTTGTTCAGTATTGTCTGCCTACTCCCCCTTGTGATGCACACCATTGGTGTCTTGGTATTGCAGCACCATCACTCACAGTGTTTTCTATGCTGGCAATGCACGTTTTAGTCTGAGACACCAAGACTTAGTGCAATACACATACAAATTTGTACTGATGTTCAAACCTTACTGCATGGATACTACCTGACATCTACCAAATTCACAAAGCCTTATCCTGAGAAATGGATTGCTCTGGAAACTGTATGGGACACAGTTTCAACAGATGGAAATACATGCAGTTTTCCAATGCCCTAGTGAAGATCTAAGGAGAAGACTGCCCCAAGAACATTCCTTAATTCACGTCATGCCTGTAGAAGTCATTCTATCACAGCAGAAGAGCAAATCTGAAGCATCTCTGCAATAGCTGAAGTTTGCAAGGATCAGTGAGACCCTCCAAAGACTAATTTGCCATCTTCATACCTAATAAGCCTGTATTAACTAGCAAAAAAACACGTGTTATTCTGGTTACTTCAGTCAGTCAAGAGAATTCTGTTAGGTTTGAGCAGGCAGTGGAAGTAAACTGAATACAACTCATTGAATAAACACCACAGATGACTATGTTTCATTAACAGCATCAGTGGTGTGTTCCACTCCTGGGCTTCCAACATAACACTTTTGATGCATTTGAGTTTCAGTCTCACAGTTCTTTCTCCTGCTGCTGCTATTCAAAGCATATCAGATATCCAAGAAAAAGCTGCACTCATTTTCAGGAGGCATTTATTTAAGGTGCTGGCTGAACTCTTTCTGGTTTTGCTGTTTTGTCATATAGAAAGCTCTGAGATGGATCTTTTCCAAAATTAACTGACCAGAGAAAAGTCTCTGAGTTCTGGAACTGGTACTGTTCACTTTTACTTCTGTATTGCATCACTGCTGAAGATGCCACAAACTGCAACACCTAATCACGATAAACTCGGAGATGTTAATTCTTGCAGGCTGATAGCTGACCCGAAATCTTTGAACACTGCACACTGATTATGAAATCTGTCAAGTGTACTAGAAAATAAGCCTTCTGACAGTTCAGCTAATAAAGTTCAACTTCAAATGACTGGGCATCTGAATTATAGGCTGCAATAATAATATATATTACGGATGATGAAAAAGTAATGGAACTGCCAATCAACATCTTAACATCCCATTGCATAAATAAGCAGCACAACCTACTAAGTTTCACTCTAGCTTATATATTCTACATCCGGCCAGGTGTCTGCATAGTAAGAAAAAAAAAAAGTTGGAAAAAAAATCATTTTTCAAAATGACAATAAGATGGAGTAGGTAAAAAACCAAAATGTTGAGAAAATCTGCACAGGTTGACATTTTCAGAATGCTCTACTATCTCTAATGAGAGGGGCAGGAAATTCCTGCAGCTGCTAATGGAAGTAACCACATCCTGATAGCAGCATGCAAAATCAGTCTCTTCATTTAAGAGGTCTGAGATATTTTGTTAACAGAACAGGAAAGCTAGGGTTTGTTCCAGAACTCACAGTGCCCCCATTACCAAGAGAGGTGGCACCAGGTGGTGCTATTCCATGGCATCATCTTTCCCTTATCTCCATGTGCAAGCAAGTTTCCATTCTTACAGACACCATATTTGTAGCTTTCTACTGTATTGTCTCCCTTTACCTGGAGGCAATTTCAGGGAAGACACATGAGGAGCAAGAGAGGCTCCCCTCACCCTCGCGTGCTGATCAAAGTCCTCCTGAAGTAGATTTGCCTCGGAAGGACCAGAGCACTGCCATTCTGCTGAAACCCTTAAAGAAGGACATATTCTGAATACAGCATTTTAGGGCTGCTTTCAGTATTTTAGCTGTAACCTGACACCCCTCATTTCCACGTGTGATAAGTTCAACTTCTGAGAAAATCAGGCACATAAACCAGAAGGACACCACTGCTGTCAGAACAAGTCCATTCTTCTTTCTCTTAGAAAGCACCCAAGATGCTCTGACTTGAACAACTGATTGATGAAGGAATGCAAGATTGAGGTCATGAGGAACTGAAAGAAATTATAAATAAATATGACTACACGTAAAAAGAGTAAAAGCACTGATAATGTGAGAAGATTAAATATTCTTTTCTTCCTAAAAAAGGACAAACATGAAAGAGTTTAATTGAGAAGACAGAGAGTGAAGAGGATTAAGAGGAACTCCTGACATGCATTTCTTACCAAGATCAGTCTGGACACAATCTATTTTTATATCCTTGTCTGAAGCAGAGTTTCCATTTGAAAATAGAAAAGAAGTTGTCAGTGCAATGAATGCATCCTGTTGCTACAGTGAGTTCACACTGGGCTTCTGAAGGAAGGTTTCTTACTGGCTCTCTTCCAGTCAGATCTTCCTTGCAATCAGGATGTAGATTTTGATGCCCTAGCCAAGCTTCCTGCTTTTAATAGCTTCATTCCTCAAAATATTCTTCCTAAGAGCAAGTTTGGATTGCCAAGGCTTGGAAGGGACCAGGTTATTTATTTTTTATGGTGATTTTCCTGCTGCAAGTGCAACTGGGTGTAAAATTACCACACAAGCTCAGAGAATATTTAGCTGTTTATTAACATTTTCTTCTTAGCCTCTAGTGCTGAAAATGGTCTCTTGTCTGGATGTCTCTCAGAGTCTCTGTGGAATGTTTCTGTTGTTTCCCCATTCTTCTTTCCTCTCTACTCTTAAGTGTGAAGAGGTCCCTTTTCCACTAAAATCTGCTGATACAGCACCTTTAGAGTATAAACTGCTCTTCTCTAGAGACTACTCAGTACAGTACTGATAGCTGAAAATCAGTGTCAGGCTCAGCAATTCCTGCCTTGGGCTCAGACATGATGAACACTGGGTTGGCATCCTGGACACTGATTCAGACCAGTCCGCACATACTGAGAAAGGAACAAAATAAAATGTAATGATCTTTATCTCTGTAGTTAGGTTGGGGGTTTTTTTTCACCCCTTTCTTAAAAATCTTTTTTTCTTCTCTCTAGAAAGTGAGATACATGGGCAAGGATTTCGCAAGGAAGCATCAGGTACCAGCAGTGCATAGTAACAGATTTTATTTTCTGCAGGTGCAAATGACTACGTGAATCACCAGCTGTTGGAGCTGCTGTTGTGCTGACCCCCTGAGTGAAGGAAACCTCTCACCTACCTGCTCTTCCATTAGCCTATTAAAATTTTTGGGCTTTTGATGCTGCTAAGCATTTCTGCCTTTTTTTTTCCTCCATCAGCATTCAAAATGGAATATATAACTGTTTTTGCAGTAAGATATGTGGAACTTAAAGGTGACACAAATGTATGAAAGTCTGCCTTGACAAAGAAATAGAAGACATAAGCAAGATATATTCCACATTAAATGAAATAGAAAAATTTAAAACTGCCATCTCAAAGCCTAGTATGGCATGAAATCTCTGCAACGAATTGGCCATTAGGAATGCAGTTACCTCAAAAGAAATAGGGAAGGTTTATAGAGTCCTATCAATATATGTGATGTTAGTATAAATGACCCCCAATTTATGAAACTACATTAGTTTTCATAGGTCTGTCGAGATTTTACGACTTTTCTAGGTTTTGTTAAAATACAATAATGCAAGACAGACTCTTCCCTTTATAGCAAGGAATAATTAGTAATTTGAACTGATAATAAGTGGACTACTGTCCAATAACTGACTTTAGAACTGACCTGATATTATCATATAACAAAAATATGTGTGGAATATCTTGGAACAGTTGGTCTACCGTGGGCTGAATCTGATAGAGAAGAGAAAGAAAATCTTTAGTCACAGGCTTGCCAAGCCTGGGAAGAGGGCTTTAAACTAAAGTTACTGAGGAATGGGATCCTTAATCCATCCCACTCCTGCCAGCAGGATGTCAGTGCCAGTATCTGTGGGGCTCTGACCCCACTGGCATCACAGACACGGTGGGATGGCTCCTCACTGGGGTGTTGGAACAGGATGCCACAGGCTCTTCAGGAAGCCCAGGCAGGAGAGAGCAGCAGGGGGCTGTCACCATATCAGTGGCAGCTGGAGTGTGTGGAGTTCCACCTGGGGATGGATGAGGAGCTGACTAGGACCTTATGGATCGGGATTAAAGGGAGGACAGGGACAAGTGACATTATAGGGCAGTCTGCTGCAGGCTGCCTGACCAGGAAGCCCTTCTGTTCCTGACAGACAGGAGCATCCTTGCAGTCACAAACTCTGGTTCTCCTGGGGGACTTCAACCACTCTGATATCTGCTGGAGGGACAGCACAGCAGAGCATAAGCAATCCAGGAGTTTTCCTGGATGATACTGATGACAAATTCCTTCTCCAAGTGACAGAGAATCCAATGAGGAGAGGTGCCTTGTTGGACCTTGCTGTCACCAACAAGGAGGAGCTGGTGGGGAATGTGAAGATCAAGGGCAACCTGGGCTGCAATGACCATGAAATGGTGGAATTCAAGGACCTTAGGGCAGTGAGGAGGGTACAGACCAAGATCAGTACCCAGCATTTCAGGAGAGCAGACTCCACTGAGAGTGATCACAATCTTCAGTTATAATTATAAGAAATAACAACACGAAGTGACAATGTTTTTGAGCAATACAAATGTGAAATTATTATACATAAGTATTCATCTAATGATGAGAAATGAACAAGCTAAAATATTATCGTGTAAGAAGACACTTCATTAATGGAACTAAGGGTCAGAGTATTAAGTTAGCCCTGGCAATCAAATATTTATTTTTTGTTCCAGCTTTATTTTTACAGTTGATTAACTATTTCAAAGAGCAGGATAACAGTTCAAACAGCAACCTACTGTCTCTCTTTGAAGCCTTGGCATTACACTGAGGCTATCACGCAGCTCAAAAATCAAATTAAATAAAAATCTTCTGAGTGTTGCATACAGCAGAAAGTCACCTGGTGAGGGACTTGAGCACCCAAAAAATGGAATCACCATTCAAGTGGAAAGAAAGGAAAAATCTTCATATCTTTCCACTGGTTAGAGATGAAACTTATCTGGTATAACTAATCTGGGAGTGCTGAAATAGCAGATGCTTCTGCATTTGAAGGTAGAGAATCACTAGCAAGGTTTGCACATGCAGGCACATACGGATGAGCAAGAAACTGTACAGATAACAATTGAATGGCATGGACAGAGTTTTTCTAGGAAGCTTGGATGAAACTCATGTATCTGGTGCCAAGTTCTTGCATTGCTGCTTATTTTCACAAACTCATCTAGAAATTCAATATAAAATAGCAAAACCAGCTTTGTAAAGGAAGAACAAAACCAAAATAGTATCATCTGTTTCTGTCTTCTCATTTGCAGGAGACAAACTCTAAATAGAAGTGATTCAGACCAAAAGCAACCTAACCCTTTCTTATAAAACAACACAATCCCCTCAGGATTTGACTAGATATAATTTTGTTCTAATTTCTTTTCCATTTCTTTTCATGATCTCAGTCAGTGCTTCAGGATAGTTCCCCTCCCCTTTTATTTTAAATTAAATGAGGGTCTAATTAAAACATATAGTTCAAACGTTAAACAAAATGGTGCTGCTTTTGCTGCATGCCTGACATGAAGGAATATGGAAGATAGAGATTTTTAAATAAAACTCTCCAGCAGGAAACTGCTATTATTTGCATTTATTTATTTATTCCTATCAACATGCCAGAAAACCTTTTCTCCTAATATATAACATTTTTGTAGAATTGGGTAATTCACAATAATATGCCATTTATATACATTTTTCCAGTGAACTAATTTGCTAAAATATTCACAATTGAAATCCATAGAGAGAGGAGGAGAGTCAAAGCAATTTAAATGTTCAGACTGGCATCTGTGAAAGCACTTGTAGTATTTACTTGGATTTACTTTCATCTTTCCAAAAGTGGCCTGACTCCACCAAAAGGGGAGGGTAGAGAAGAGGAAGGGAGAGAATGCAATAAAAGTACATGCAAGATCACCCCAAAAATAGGATTAATCCCAAACTGTAATGTATTTTCAGGTGAACTACACATTGAAAGAATCAAAGCTGTAGCCTTTCTACAGAAGGTGACCCTTGCTCAACCAGCTGATTTCAAGGCATGACAATCCTCGATTTCAAGCACACACATGTCCATGGCACATACACCCTTGACTCTTTTTTCCCAGACAATCCCTATTTGACCTGCTGTGCCCACTTAGCCAACCTGACACCTCCCTGCTAGCAGCCCCTTGTTCATCAGTCCCTTTGCATCACCCCCTCCTCATGCTGTCACCATTTCTCTACTGCTGTCCTCACCTAGATGCAAAGCATCATTGCTATTCTGCACCACAAGCACTTAACCTGTCTTTAAATGCAATGGGAAACTTTCAGGAGATGAAGCAGGGCAGTCCAGAAAAGTCCACAGCCAGCTGGAACCACTCACACCTAATTTGTCCTGGGAAGCTAATGTCCTGCAGGAAAAGTAGTTTGCCACTGGTTTGGTGAGTTTCTTCACTGTCCCACAGCCTCTGTGCCATGAGCATCCAGGAGCTGTGACCACACCTGCCAGCCCAAACAAGGTAAGGGATTGGGAACAAAAACGGAATGCAGAGTGCAGAACTTGAACTGGGAAGCACTAGGAGAGACACACAAGTTTTCCAGTTATACCCTCTGCCAGTGCAGCCACAGGAGGACAAACGGAAAAATCAACTCACCCCAGCCAATGCAGAGATAAAGGCGGAAAATCCTCTGCTCGGAGAAGACGGAAAGTACCAGCAGCGTGTACAGGTACATGCCTTCCACCAGCAGCCAGTAGTAGTTTGCAGCCACACAATACTGCATCATCACAAAGACCAAACGGCAGCTGAGTGATTCCTGTGACAGAAAAAAGCACAGCCCAAAGTAACGCGACTGGGACTGAGAATAAAAGGATATGAACTCAAAAGACTGATTCTCTTTCCTACTCTTGCTCCTCAAAAAAAGAGTTTGCTAAACTAATCACATATTTTATTGCTGAACAGAGACAGTAATAGGTGCTATGCACAACAGACAGATGCTTTCAACAACATTACTCCTTAAAAAAAAAGTACATGTTCTGTCGTTTCCCCTCAACAAGTAATGGATTTTATTTTGAAAAGCATGAATAAAGATGAAAAGAACAAGTGAAAGGTACTATATCAACCACAGTCAGTGAATCTTTCACTTTCCTGGGTACTCCATATTGCAGTTGAAAATTTCTCTATTAAAAAGAAAAGAGTAGATGCCATAAGGTTGACTATTTGCCAAAGCAAAGGATATTTTCATAGAATAGCAATGTTGCCCAGTCCACCCCATTTAAGTGCAAATTCTCTCATAGCTGGTAAATTACTGAGATGATCAGTAGGGCTTTAGATAAGTATGAAACCTGATTACCTAATATATCCATCAGACCTGATGAAACCCCTACTGAGTAAACAGTGTGTAAAATCATAAAGTCTATGCTTTTTGGAAAGAGGAAATGACTGACAATCCAATATGAACATTTCCAAACCATTTAAGATGTGTTTTACAATGTTATTTTCTGGCAACTGATAAATTGCAGATGAGGGAAAAAAAAGCAACCATCATATGAGATTCACTAAGTCATTTTAGCACTTCTGCCTTAGGCAGTGTCAGAAAAGGATGGGCACTAAGGATGTACCAGGAGAGTTTGCCTTGACCACTCCAATCCTGTACTGCAGCAGCAAATGCTGTACCCATGTTTTAGAGTCACAAGAGCTATACAGATAATAAAGATACCCTTCTTTGAGGTTTCAAGTACATTTTGCTTTCCAGATCCAAATGGGCAAGGGCACGCTTTCATCATTATTTGCAAAAGAGTTGTATATCCTCTCTCATCAATTAGAAGTATTTAATTAGCCTATTCCTCCAAAGCTTTTCTAACTGCTTTCAAATTTGCATTTTAATCAGATGCTTCCTTTTTTTCATGTCATCCAGAGATTATATAGAGATGACCAAGAGCAACCAACTTAGCTGGTGGACAAACGACTGACTAGATGGACAGCTCTATCACAAAAAGTGTTGGCTTAGGAAAAGAAATTCCCTCTTGTCACTGCTAGAAAGAAATGAAACTGCAGTATAGAGAGAAGATATGGCCATTGCTGTATGTACATATATATATGCAAAAAAAATCAGCTATCTTGTTCCTCTGTCTAGTGGGGGCAAACTTCCCACACATAAAGAAACATGTCATGCCATCAACTAAAGAGTTATGCTACCTGCTGTCATGCAGACACACCACAGTGATGACTCCAATATCCTAAGAACAACCACAGTGTCTGTGCCCTTACCTGGAAGGCTATCAGTCCTTCCCACTGGTACTCCTGTGTGGCTGTGCTGTACATCCACTTCACCACCGAGTCTTTAATGAAAACAGATATAGCCCGGAGGATAAAAGAGGTGAAGAGGTTCAGGTGAATGTAATTCCTTGTGCAATGTAGATGTCTGTAAAAAGAAAAATCTAGTCACAATCCACTACCTACATAAAAGATGCAGCATCACACAGGACTGAGAAAGGGAACAAGGAGCTCTGTAAGAAATCAGGAGGCACAAGAGGAAATCCCATAACTTGAGAATGGCTGTAGGGATTTCACACTGTCTTTGGGAAGAAAATACTATCAAGGAAAACACATTCAAAACTTCATCCCTTAGAGCCAATATTTGGGGAAAGGAAGAAGATAGGTGCGTTAAGAAAAAAAAATATTTCAAAAGCTTAAAAAGTGTAAAAATAAAGTCATTTTCAGCAGCCTTATCTGAAAGGACTAAAAAAGTCAAGTTCCACATAATACTGAAGCTAATTGCTTTGAATTGACCCCAATGTCACTGCACAAGTTTACCTTGGCAAAGCTCAGGACTGGTGTGCAGTGCAGCTTCTGGCTGTGCTCAAACCCACAATGAAAAAACATCCACCTGCAAATCACCCTTTGACAACAAGAGAAAAATCTGTATTCAAATTGCCTTCTAGGAGAATTGTAAATACTTTCTGTAGAAGTAAAAGGAACAGATTTTTCACCTCTGCATTCAGAATTGAAAACTAAAAAACAAAGGAAAAATACCCTTGAATTTCAGAAGCCAGCTGCAAAGACAATAAAATTGCTACTTGTCAAAAAAAAGCATGTTAAGGGATAGCAAAAGAAACTGCAGTCATGTAAATGTCACCCAATTGCAGAGTACTGCCAATATTTTACCAGCCTTATTCACAAACATTTTGCTCCCAGCTCTGCAGGGATACACACTTTACCTCAAAAGAAGTTACAATGGCTATGATTTTTAAGATGCTAAAGAACAGACATAAACATATGGTAATGAGCAATTATTTCAGCAAAACTTTCAGCGAACTTATACTTTAAATGCCTGGTTTTTACAGCTCTACAAAATTTGGTAGAAAAATTGACTTGGTTTGAAAGTTAGAGGTTTGCATTGAAGAACAACTTGTTTGTCATAGGTCAGATTTTTTGTATCACTTTTAAGGCACAATTTATTTCAAAACTTACCTATCATTAATATTTATGTTCCTTAAATTCAAAATTCATTTGTTGCTACCCTTCAGAACTGCTACACATTTCAATCCGATTGAAATAGTTATGTAAATTAGGCAATTGAAGAAAATAGGTCTCAAGTAGTTACTGAGTATTTTTGCCACAGGCAATGCAAGTTATTCAAATTGTTTCAGTCATGAGGTTATGGGCCTAATTCAGCTTCCACCACTGAAATTTCCTTCCATTTTTTTAGGAGGACACAAAATAGGACTCGAGAGAGATACTGTTTCCTCTGCTGTATCACCTTTAAAGACAAATACAAAGGTTATGCTGTAGTCCCAAGAACCCTAAGAGGCCCATCAGTATTTGCATGCCATTGAATTAGATTTTTATCCCCATTCGTTGAGGCTGAGCAGCTCTGGGGACATGAGCCGAGATTCCAGTCAGAATCCAGAAACTGCAAATCACATAGGGGTAAGTCTCTTATTTCATGGCATCCAGGACCAAGTTGTCTCCTGGTAAACAACTTGGACAGGAGAACACAAAATGGATTGATAGCATAGTTTTAACAAGACTCTTGGTGCCTCTGATGTTCCTGGAACCTCGCTTTCAAAATGAGAAGCACACACTTGTGTACACCTCTCCAGTCCCTGCTTCATAGTGGAAGGAAAAAATACTAAAGCATCACCCCACAAAAGTGAGGGCATCAAAATTCCCTCTTTCCTACCAGTCCTTGGTGACAAACTTGCTCTTTGTTCCCTGCCAGAAAACATCTTTTCTTCCTTCCTTCAACAAGTACATGGTTGTGCTCTGTGACCTTTACATTTGGGCTGCTAAGATTACTCAAGAAGTGTCATTGATAGGTGAAATGAGGAGAAAACAGTTATCCTGGGAGACATTTGGAGACTTCAAGACCATCTGGTGCTTTTTCAGAAAGATCCCAAAGTTGCACAGGTACAACACATACAAATCGTAATTATCACATGGCATTCACAGAGGGTGAGCATGTCCCTGGATTTCTGCAGTCATTTTAAAACTTCCTCGATATTGTCCACCTATGCTTCTCCACTGGAAGGAGAAGGGATAATACAGTGCTAAAAAAGTATGGTTCAACGTGAAAAAGCTTGCATCATTTTAGTTTTGGAAATTAGAAGTTAAGAGACATGGCTGACCTTTTTAAATACATAAGGGAAGAAAGGAAAGGGACTGCCTTGCTGAAAGTGTAGTGCAGGCACCAGAGCAAATGACCAATAACTGGCAATGATAATTCTTCAGTCAGGGAAGGAAGTTCCTTAAGGATCAGACCACTGAAGGTTCCTGACTTGATTTCAATTAAGAGTACCAGGACATGGAACATCATACTTTTTTAAGAGGCAGCCTCATCAGGACATAAGAGGGATGGGACTTGGATGTAGGGATCAGCTTCATGGCAGAGGGACTTCCCACAACAGAGTAAGATCTCATCTTTGTGTTTTCCAAGTGTCAGTCTCCTGTGCTCAGCACCCCCAAACTGAAGTAGTCTAGCTGGAATCAAAATATCTTTTGCATTTAGAGGGGGAAAAAAGATCCCTTATTAGAACCCAAAGTTATGTTTTGGTCTGGTGGAGTCTTGGGTCTTTTATTTATTCTTTAACCAAACACACACAGTGCATCTTTGGCATGTGCAACCAAGAGTGTCTAAATTTTCATATGCTCTGTTGAATTTGTAGGTGCAAACCTGGATGAACTCAGTACGTCACTATAGCCAGCTGACAGCAATTTATTTCACAAACTTTACAAGTTTCAAATTAGACTCTCTTCACATTGCAAAAGAAATAAGAATTTCTGAAAGTTCTAAAAAAAAAAAAATTAAAAAAAATTATCAAATAATCCATTTCTGCACACCTTGCATGTGAGGGTTGGGATATAGGCCAGAGTGAGATTGATGCTCTGGTAACTCCAAGCAAAGCAAGATGAAAATTTTTCTCCTAAATGTCCTTGCCCCTCTCAGACTTGTGCTGCATCAGCGAGGTGAGACCATGAAGGAATGCTTGCATCTCTCTCTTTTACCACCTCTTCCAGTGGAAATTTAATTGAAACAAAATTGCCTAACAAAATATTCCAATTGATAAAAAGTACCTGTTCCACATGTTCACATGGATAACTGCAAAAATTTGGCAATTTTACTTGCATTTTGAGAAGGAATTATTTTAGGAGGGAACACAGAAGTGACAAAAGATAGAGTAATAATGACGTGATGGAAGAAGGGAAAAAAATATCAAATATTTCTGTCAGAGTCTGATACGGTTATATAGAAAAACATAAAACCTTTAGTCCACTCTCTTCAAAGCTTCACCAGTTACCTGAATCCAAGAAGAATGGCAGTTGCTATTACAAGGGCAGAGAAGGAAAGAGCATATCCAATGGTGTATATGATGGACAAATTCAGGAGCTGTTCTTCTGGTGCATCCTGAGAGCATATAAAGAAGAAAAGAAAAAAAAGTGGAGGGGAAAAAGGAGAGAGCTCATGGCCTTCAGTTCTTTTCTCCCAGCTACTTTCTAACTTTCTTAATGACAACCAGAAATCATTCTCCTACTTTCAAGTTTAAATGCACATGTCAAATCAGTCTTCCACTTTCCATATGCTCTAAAGAAATAAAAATTCAATCTTAATTCCTCAGCTGCTCCCAGGTGTTCGCTCAAATAGTTGGGTTTTGCAGCCTGGCTAGAAAAATAGATAATGTGACATTATTCCATAATAAAGTTGGAGAGACATGAATTACCACACGAGCAAGTCTTAAAACTGATGGCAGGAAGCACAGACACAACTCAGACCTGCAGTAAAAATGGAAGACCTAAACTTTTCAGACTTGAGCACTTCAAGCAAGTCTCCTTACTGTGATAATGAGGGGGGTCCTCATCTGTACTTCAAGTGCAACAATCCAGATCATATTTGATGATTTGGAGGCAAAACATGCCTTGCATTCACACAGCTAAACCCTTTTCTGCCCCCAAATAATAATAATTCTGTCTTCTGCCTCAACTAAGCAAGCTCCTGGTAACAAACTACAGCCCAACAGCTTCTCATGACCTGGGTGTTACTGCACTGCTTGAGAGAGAACAACCTGCTGCAGATCAGAGCAGGGGGCTCTCTTCAGATTCACTGAAAACATGGTTATTGAGAGCCTCGCTTGAAAATTCTGCCCAAAATCCTTATAGAGAAGAGAATTACTTGAAAATGTACAGGCAGCTCTGAATTTTAAAACAGTTTTATTGCTCAGCCTTCAAGGCACATTCATATTCACTGTTCTAGTTCACCTCTAAGCACGAATCTTTGTGTAAATAGACTCAGGGATTTTATTTCCCTTCTTGCAGCTGCTAACTCTGCAATTGACTCCTGAGACCTGTGCTGTACAAAGGAATACATTCCTTGAACTTCAAAAATTAGGCACAGTTATTCAGATGCACTTTGCACAGCCAGGAGGATTTAAGGTGAACATACAGGCTGTCCCTCAGATTTGCTAGCTTAATGCTTTATAAGGGAATGTTACAAAAGCTGCCTTATGAGAAGGAAAATCTCTTCAGTATCAAAGCTTAAGCAAACAACTGAAACCTGAAAATTAAAACATGTACACAGTTGAAAATGACATTGTACACTTTACAATGTAATTTAATTTATAAAGATTAATTTAATTAATTTATAAAGATTCACTAACACTTTGGAATTAGTTTTAGTTACATTTGTAATATAACACATGACAAACTTATAAAAACAACTTCTTATTCCTGCATGCCAGATGCATAAACCAAAGTTACTATGGGGCTCTATATACACTAGCTGGAAAACCAAACATGGCTGTTCACATTTCAGGGAGTGACACCATATACAAAGGTTTCAGATTCCAGATCAGTTCATGAAAAATTGGAGGCAGGTGCCAAATGAACAAGTGTTAGCATTAGGTATCTCACTCATTGGCATGTCTCAACACAGCTCTGGAAGAAATCATAATGGCCAACATGGAAAAGTCAAACAACCAGGATTACACATAGCGTTAAGACAATGTGCTCTGGTGGTATAGCACAAAACACAAAAGGGACAAGGAAAAAGGCTGCAAGTCAAAGGAAAAGGTTAAAATTAACATATTTGGAATATAGAAACTCTCTGTTTTCCCATCTCCTCCTAGTCTGTAGCTATTTCTTCTGAAGAATGAGGCACTGAGCAATGGAAACTACAAGGGCATAGATCCTGTAGCTCTTGGGACTTTCATAAACTTAAACTGTTTTGACTAGATAATGCATTGGTTCCCAGTACCCCCGGATAGAGAGTGTGCACTCAGTTTGAGTGAGGAAAAGCATCGCCCTTGGAGGTTCACAGTAGTAGTGGTATCACGTGTCATGGGAACGCACACAGTGCACTGGCTGACGCCAATGGCTGTCAAAAATCCTCTGAAAATCCCTGTGCTCTCCTTCATTTAGTGCCAGGCATCTCAGCTCCCTGCAGAGTAAAAAGCACGAGGGCAAGAAAATAATACTGACAAGCCTAATTCCATTTTCCACAGAAAATGCAGGTATAAAGAAAAAAAAAAACCTTAAAAAAAAAAGGCAGGGACTGCCCCATGCCCAAAGGTGGAAAAGCAAATATCCTTCAGTTCAGTTCATCTTAATCACCTTAATAGCTGCTAACAAGACAGAGCAAATGGTCCCTATTACAGTGACGTGACAATGGAAAAAAGGCAAAGGAATAACTGCAGGAGTGACCTGCAGTTGAGCTCCTTGCACTGCACCACAGCTGGGATGACCTCAGTCACTTCTCTTGGCTCTCACGTACATTTAAATGTGCTCTCGTCTACCCTCCATGGTCCCTTTGTTGAAGGGGAGAGACCTGATGTCCCTTACCCTTAGGCTCACTGAGGTGAGTCAGTGAAGATTACTTCGACAGGACAAAAATGCATGGGCATTGACAACTATTTTTTCCTCTCTTCTGCTTCATCCTAAACAACAGCAGCAAGAGAGGGGGGGAATGGGAAAAACTCCTACCTGGTCAGAGGGCTCACACTCAGACAGGTTCCTCCAGGGCAGGGTCGAATTCTCCTTCAGCAGCCAGGTCCCCTCCAAGGTGCAGAAGCGGTACACCTGCCCATGCAGCACTGCCAGGAGCAAAATGAGCCACAGGGTGAGCGGGAAGAGAGCCTGCTCGACCGAGGGGCAAGGCTCACAGAGCACATCCACACAGCCCTCCTTCCTCACCCACCCTCCCTGCCTGCCCCCAACACTCTGCTGCTTGTCCCCAGGGCCCTGGGGCGCCTGCCAAGGTATCCGATGGCACCAGGACATGTTCCAGGACAGTTGCTGACCATTCCACAGTAACCAGAGACTGAATTAATTTCTGCCATCTTCGTGTGGATTCTACAACATGCATAAATTCCAGCTCACTAAAATACTAGATTTTGAAACGTACAAATTTTAGGAACGTTAGGCTTCAGCTACAGATTTTACATGGAAAAGAAGGTGCAGAAAGACTAAATGTGTTTTTTCTTTTCTGAAAGCATGCAGACCCAGAGAAACCTCAGAATAGGTAAGCTAACACAAGCTTCCCAAAATGTAACTGCTTATACAAACATCTGTGCTACAAAATGAAGCCATCAATCTTTTCCTAAACTACCTATGTGCTCTTTCTATTCCCTCTGTCTACATGTTTGAATAGCAAAATTAGCAATAAATTAAACACCTTTCTGGAGCAGTCAGCTGCTTGATCTTGTAAAAGCAAGTACATTGAAATGGCTCCTAATAAAATTATGTCAGACTGAAGCACCAAAAGAAAAAGTGCAAAAGGAAAGCAGCACTCAGTCATAGTGTATGACAAGAAACTCCCTCTCTAGTGTCTGGAATACTGGGGAAATCTAACTTAGACAGCTGTACACATAAGCAACCTGGAAGCATCCTTGTATGAGCTGCTTTGCAAAGGAAGTTTCTCCCTAATCACATTTTTGACCCAGTAAACTGACCTGTTCTATATAGCAAAGCTACCCTTCAAAAAGCAATGCTGTGTCAATCCCTCTATCAGGGTTAGCCTCTACCCAGACATTGTTTGGAAAAATACACTTACAATATTCTGGGGTATAAGAAGCTGAGTTAGGAGGATTCAATTCAACAAGGGCATCAAAATACCTCCCAATTACAGCTTTTGCTCAAACCCAGCCTTGCCTGCTGCAACTTCATCCTGTTGTCAGCTCCCTTATTACTGCAAACTAGAATCATTAGAATTTGGCATTTCTGTTCAATGGGAAAATTTTAAAACTTATTTGAAATTCTAACAACCCAGTAGGTTATTTGCATGTTAGTTGACAACTGGTAATCTGTTTGATAACTGCCAGCAGCAGACAACTAATAGATACTCTAAGTCATAAATGTTTTTTAAAAAAACAATATAGACATTAATATTCTAATAAACCATTTTTAAGAGTATACTAAATAGTACCTGATAATGGTTCTGGTAGGCACAGCCTATTTGGTTTTGTAATTGCTATACTGAATATACCAGTAAGAGATAATATAAAGATGACATAAAAATTTAGTTATGTTTGTGGAGGTTTTTTTCTTACTGTTAAGGGTATCTGTTCACATGAAAACAGAAGGAAAGATTAGGCACAGCATCTGCAACACACACATTCACAGCCACTAACTGCACCCGCTCTCATTATCTACTGCCAGTGACAACCACTTCCTTAGGTCAGGGCATTGCAATGATGTTGCTCAAGGGTAATAAAAATGCTTATTTAGAAACATCAGGAATAAAAGACTAGGGAAAACATGGGTCCTCTCAGGAAGGATAGGGAAGACCTGGCTGTAACAGACATGGAGAAGGCTGTGAGGACTCAATGGCCTTTTTGCTTCAGCCTGGAGAAGAAAAGGCTCCAGGGAAACTCTACAACGGCCTTACAGATCCTGAGGGGAGCTACAAGAAATCTGGAGAGTAGATGTAGATTAGATGTTGGAAAGAAATTCTTTACTGCAAAGGTGGTGAACCGCTACAACACATTATGCTGAGAGGCTGAGGATGCCACATCCCTGGAAGAGTTCAAGACCAGGCTGGATGGGACTTCAAGCCACCTGGCCTAGTGGAAGACATCCCAGTCCAGGGCATGGTGGTCTGAACTAGATGATCTTTCAAGTCCCTCTCAATCCAACCATTCAATGATTCTATGAATATATTGAGGATCTTACACATCATTCCCACTCCCTCTTAGGATTAGTGGTCAGCAACTTGAAGTAAGCCGTTCAAAACACCTATGCAAAAGCAGCCCCAGCAATCAGTAAATATTGTATATTTGGAGCCAATGAACATGAAATCCAGGAGGTATAAGTCCAGAGGGTCATAGGACTAGGAAATTGTGTCTGTCATTAGATGAGCAAGTATTACAAAATATAATTATTATGAAAAATCATCTCAGAAAACAAATTTGACTATACTACTGAAAAAAAAAAAAAAACCAAAAACCAAAACCCCTACCCTGCTAAAGTGGAATTAATTAAAAAAAAAAAAACAAGCAAAAAAATCCTAAATCCCAACATTATTTCACATTTTCTGAAACTCTTTGTGAATTCCCCCCCTCTGCCAGTATTTCTTAGTGACAAGGTCTAATGGGATGAATGCTTAGCTTCAATATATTTCTCTCCCAATCATCATGACACACTTTAATTTTCTTTTTATTGATAACACTTTTTAAATAATGAAGAGGAAAATCTAGTGTATCCTGAAGCCTAGCATATATTAGAGAATTGAAAGGTTTACTGTAAATGAAATATGGAATTTGCTATCAGACAGAAAGACAAGGCAATTCATTTAGATATGAAGGAAAAATAATGTAATGCTATTACACTGGACAGGAACATTCCTGCCACATCTAGGAGGCACAAACACTCAAAGTGGATGGTTCTTACAGACTTCTGGGTAGTCACATGCCAGCTGTGTCAGGTTGTCATAGACTCACTGATGGCACAAACAGTCGTGATCACTGCAGGACTCAGAGGCAACTGAAGACCAGCTGGGCTATCTGTACCCAGGAGGAGCATTTAAAATGTAAAAGAATAAATCAAACAAATTTCAAACAAGTGAGACTGCACGTCACAATGTGAAAGCCTAAACACCTGGTCTATGGAATAATTTATTAACCAAAACACTTACGAGATAGAAAATGTTAAAACATAGAGAACTTGCACTTCGAGGTACCATTGAGATTGTAGTTGATACATGGGACAATGCTCATGAAAGAGCCGAGAGAGTGCAGAATGCAGGACATGAAAAAAACACAGAGCTGATGCACTGCAGGCAGCCAGTTACTCTCAGAAATGTGAAAAGTCTCACTGTTGTGGAAATGGAATGCTTTCAGTAATGTGTCAGACTCCCCATTACCCACACAGCATCACTCTGTGGAGCTGTGAAGGGCTCAGAAATGGATAAACACCACACACGAGACCCTTCATGCCATGCAGTTTGGCCCATCCAATGCCAGCACCATGCAGAGTCTCCCAGACAAACCCAGCCCAGGGCTGCAGACACCTTTGAGCTCTGTGTGAGGTGTGCCTTTGAAACAGAAACCTCCCAAACTGCATCAGCTTGCAGTCATTGCTACTTTCTCCATTTCCCAGAAACAGAAGGCAAACAGCCTCCATCTACTCCTCTGGGCAACAGGCTCAGTCACAGGCAGCCACCTGCCACTGCCCAAACACAAAAAAGGCTGTTAGTGACTGATAGCTCAGAAGAGATTCACCTGAGCTGAATGCTCCTCTCCAGTCTTCCCCCAGTGACGTGAAGAACAGACTAAAGCCTCTACATCAGAATATCTGCTCTGGTCTTTCTCCAAAATAACTGATAAAACCCTGGAGACTTTAGATCCTCTCATACACAAAATTCCCATCTTTGCTTACTGAAAGCAGTTCCAACAAAGTTCAAGGAATCTATTAGCAGCTCCACATATTAGTGGCTTGATCCTTTTTTCTTCTGCCTTCACTCAGAGTCAGGATTGCAGCACAAGAGACAGATTTTCCTGTTCAGACTCAGTTGTTTACTAAATCTTATCTATAGTACAGAGAGTTCTGCAGCACTTCTAGCTAACAAGCTAGAAGCGAGAAAATGTCGGTCTAACTAGTTACAAGGTCTTTTAAAGCCTAACTATCCAATTAAAAACTAACACCTATATTATTTATACTTTTGACCCAATGACCAAACACCTATGACCCACACTGTGGTACTTTCTATCCAACCAAAAACTAATACCTAAAACCAAGAAGAAGGAACAAGAAGGAAGAAGCCAATGCCCAAGAGCCTCCATCTTGTCCCATAGCTATTACTATATTCTAAAACCCCAAATTCCAAACCCTTCACCATGTGATATTTCACACTTCTATTCAAACTACACACCAGTGATTCTAACTCCATCATTCAAATTTGGAAGCCTTCTTTAAGGCCTCAAAAGTCAAAAGCAATGTTCTTTTGAGGGCCACTCCCAGAAAGCACAGAAAGTTCAAAACTCCCAGGCTTCAGGGTTCCAACAGGAATCCACTACCTTTTAATCAGGAATGTTTTGACTCAAGAATTGCAAGTGTCTTACCATTCTTACTGCTCAGAGGAAAGCATGTGGTTTGCAATAAAGCTACCTAAAAATGTTTTAAAACAGTTTATTCACGTGTGCTTTTTATGAGTCGTCCTGCACAGGCGGTCATGGCTTAAGGTGGCAGAGATCTTCAACCTTCTAAAACAGATAAAGGGATGGTATATGTACACATTCTGTCTTTGCTGAGGGCCTGGTCCAAAGCTCACCAGGAACCTCATTTCCTGCAATTTTCATGTGATGCCATTGCTGAAAAGAAAATCAGTTATTAGTAGACACTGAGGCAAACGAGCAGTGACATGCTAGGAGGTGGCCTGTATGCCATGACAGAAAGAAGGCACCCACACAGCTTCCCCCACAGCTGCTGAACAATTTCAGCTTTTTGCTTGCAGGTGGTTTACTCAGAGGCAATTCACATTTGTCCGTGCCTGAATTCTGCAGTGACTCAGGCTCTCTTACCTTTAATGCAGTCAAAACACCAAGCATACAAAGACCAGCATCAGTTCTAACAGACCAGAATGACAAGCAATATTTTT